AGACCTGGGGCAGTTAAGCCTCCAGCTCCTGATTTCAGCTCAGGTCATGATCTCAGGGTCATGAGACTGAACCCTGCAGGGCTCTGAGCTCAGTGTGGAGTCTGTATGGGATTCTCTCTCCCTCTCCCTCAGAACCCCCTCCCCACTCTCTCTATCTCAATAAATAAATAAAATCTTAAAAAAAAGAAGTTCCCAGACCTTTCCCCAACACAGTTACCAGCATTCCATCTGCAACAATATCCACTATATTTCCAGAAATGGATGCTTCTTTGGGGGAACGCAGATGGTCAAGGACTCCCTCATCCTGATGCTCGCATTTGTGTGCATCCTTTGCACTTGCGCATGGAAAGCATAAGTTTTCCAAAATGTACTATAATTTCAGCAAAATCTAAATTGGCCCTGGAGTCACCCCACCAAGTGGAAGGAGTCAGACCAAATTCCTCCCAGGTTTGCCCTTCCTAAGAGGCTGGGTTCCAACTGCAGCATGTCATTAAAAAGAGATCACTCTGGCCTGTGCCACCCGCCACCTCGTGTGAAGCAAGGGGGCCTCCAGGGTCCCCGAGCGTCTTCTCCGGGTCTGCCTCGACCGCCGCGTGATCACAGACCTGTCTCGGGACCCGCGGCGGCCTCCGCGACTTCGCTCCCCGCCACCCGGCACGGGCCTCAATCAGAAGCGCGGACCCGTGGGTCCCGGCCGGGCCAGGGTGGCCCCGCGCCCCCGATCCCGCCGCCGCCCCAGGCCTCGCCCAAGCCCGTCGTTCCTCGGGCCCCGGCCCGGCGGCCGGAGTGGGCAGCGCCCCGCCGGCCTCGGGCTCCGCACCGCCTGCTACTCCTCCGACCTCGGGCGCCCCGACGGGGCCTGGCCCCACCCCGCCCCCGCCGCCCGCTGTCACCTGGGCGCCGCCGAGCAGCGGGGTCCCCAGCACCCCGCCTCAGGCCGGGGGCCCGCCACCTCCCCCCGCAGGGGGCCCGGGCCCCGAGGCCCGAAAGGCGGCAGAATGCCAGGCGCCCGAAGCCGGGCGGCGGGCCGAAGCCGGGCGGCGGGCCGGGCCGCAGCGCTCCTGGCGGCGGGGAGCCCCGCGGAGGCCGGCAGCGCCACCCGCCCGCCCCCTGGCAGCACCAGCGGGGTCCCCAGCCGGCGGGCCGGCGGCCGCAGCGACAGACGAGAAGCTCAGCGACTCCGGGGGGCTGGACGCCACCTCGTCTCTCTCGGGGAGGCCTGGAGAGAAAACTTCCACGCAGCGCGGGCGGCTGTTTGTTGGGAATCCACCTGCTGGCACCACAGAGGAGGAATTCAAAAGACTGTCTGCGAAATATGAGAACCAGGAGCAGCTTTTATCGACCAAGGCCAAGGATTTGGGCTCATTAAACTTGAATCTGGGCATTGGCTGAAACTGCCAAAGCTGCACTTGCTGATACACCCAGGAGAGGTAGGCAGCTTCGGGTTCGCTTTGCCACACAAGCCGCTGCCCTCTCCGCTCGAAATCTTTCACCTTGTGTTTCCAGTGAACCGTTGGAAGAAGCCTTTCGCCAACTGGGTCCTATTGAAAGGGCTGCTGTGATTGTGGATGATCGGGGCAGATCTACAGGGAAAGGCATTGTGGATCTACAGGGAAAGGCATTGTGGAATTGGCTTCTAAACCAGCAGCAAGAAAAGCCTTTGAAAGATGCAGCGAAGGTGTTTCTTACTGACAACAACTCCTCGTCCAGTCATTGTGGAACCACTTGAACAACTAGATGATGAAGATGGCCTTCCTGAAAAACTTGCACAGAAGAATCCAATGTATCAACAGGAGAGAGAAACGCCTCCTCGTTTTGCCCAGCATGGCACATTTGAGTATGAATATTCTCCGCGATGGAAATCCCTGGATGAAATGGAAAAACAGCAAAGGGAACAAGTTGAAAAAACATGAAAGATAGGGGCGCCTGGGTGGCTCAGTTGGTTGAGCGACTGCCTTCAGCTCAGGTCATGATCCTGGAGTCCCTGGATCGGGTCCCGCGTCGGGCTCCCCGCTCGGCGGAGAGTCTGCTTCTCCCTCTGACCCTAACCCCTCTCATATGCTCTCTCTCATTCTCTCTCTCTCAAATAAATAAATAAAATCTTAAAAAAAAAAAAAAACCCTACCAGCTTCTGATGGGCTGGTCAGTGTCCATCACCTCCACCCCCACCTGCTCTGTCGTCCTACCATGCAAGGTCATCACCTGTTGCCAGAAAGTTCCTTCTCAAGTACAAAGCTCTCAGTTTCTACCTCAGAGGCCAGGAGCAGATTGCTCTCCACACTCAAGGGAATCAAATGTCCTGTTTCTTCCCCCACTTGAGTCCCACAGTCTGTTCCACAGACCCCTGATGAAAGCGCGAGGCCACTTTGGATGAGGGTAGATGGCACCGTGTCCTCCGACTTGCCACTGCAGCTGGCGTCCTGCTTAGTCCCGCCAACCACCACCAACACACATAGCTTTCCCTGCAACTCCATGTTCTGTGTTGTGATAGAACACACTTAGGGCAGAGCTTCCCAACAGGGTGCAGCCCCCGGGCTTGTGACCTCTAGAGTCCACAGGGAAGCTGGGCAGAAGTCCGGGTGTTGGGAGCCCCCAGCTCTGGGGCCAGGCTCAAACAGCCTCCTCCCACCCATCCCCAGACATTCTACAAACACTGCCAGCTTCTATATGCACTATTATCCGAAAACCTTCCACCTAAGATGGACTTTAGCGTGTACTGCAGCTGAGGGGCTATCTGCCCACACTGCCTGCCCCCAGGCCACCAAGCTGCCCCTGCAGCCAGACACGGCTCTCCCCTGCAGGCATCTCTTTGCTCCCTCCATGGCTACTGAGAGCCACTGGCCCTCCTCTGCTGCGGGGTCATGAGAGCAGCTCCAGTCCCAACAGCACTGCTTACCAGTTGTGTGGTCCTGAGTCCAGTCTCTTCAAGAAGAACAGAACTTCTACTTTCCAACTGTTGTGCAGATGAAATGAGCAAGGGAAGAGAATGCAGCCAGCATAGCCCAGTAGGTGGACATCTTCACGAGATATGTCTTCTCCTTCCCCTCCTTCTCCCTTTCCCCCTCCCAGCCCTCTACCCATTCCTCTCTCCTTTCCAGCTTTCATTACTTTCACTCAACTATGTTTTTCAGCTTGGTGGAATTGGGATGTTTTTAGTAATTTTTAGCTAACAAGAAGGCTGGCTAGCTGACCAGTCATACTGTGGCATCTTTATCCTCCACATTTAAGGTTTTTCCTTAGGTCATTTAGCCGTTTCTTGTGCAGCCCACAAGGTGCTAAGAGTTTAACACTTAATTAATATTTCTCACACTAATCACATTTCATAGGGTCTTAGTGGACATCTCAATCAAAAACAGGGTAGAGAGTCTATGGTCAAATAAATATAGCAACTGTTGTGTTAATCCAAGATAAAGAGGTTTCTTTCCTATAAAAATTCTCAGGAATTTACTAGGTTTATGTGTTGAGTCACCAGGATGGGGCTATAACTCTACAGAAAATAAGAAATACTGGGCTAAGTATTGCCACTGCACTTCTCAAAAAAACTAAAAATAGAATGACCTTCTTTTGGGGATATGTCCCCAAAAGAATTGAAAACAGACTTGAACAGATACTTGTACAGTATGTTCACAGTGGCATTAGTCACAATATCCAAACGGAAGAAGCAACCCAAGCATCCATTGACAGATGAATGGATAAGCAAAATGTGGTCTATCCATACAATGGAATATTATTTAGCCTTAAAAAGGAATGAAATTCTGACACATGCTATAGCAGGGATGCACTTTGAGGACATAATGCCAAGTGAAATAAGCCAGATACAAAAGGACAAATACTATGGGATTCAAATTATACAAGAAACCTAGAGTAGTCAAATTCATAGAGACAGAAAGTAAAATGGTGGTTGCCAGGGCCTGCGGAAGGGGAAATGAGGAGCTAGAGTTTAATGGGGAATGGACTTTCAGTTTGGGAAGATAAGAAAGTTCTGGAGATGGATGGTGGTGATGGCTGCACAACAGTGTGAATGTACTGAGTTGCACACTGAAAACTCATTAGAAGACTAATTTTATGTTATGTATATTTTACCACTGTGTGTGTCTGTGTTTGTGTGTGTGTACAAAGCATATTTTTCTTTCATACTGATGTTTTAGGGAATTACACAGGATGCATTACGGTCTCATACAACTAAGTATCAGAAGTCATCTTCCACTTCTCTCTCCAACAAAGGAAGCAGAATGCAACTCCTTCCTTCCTTGCACAAAACCCAAAATAGCACAACCAGTTGAGCAAACAAGGATATAGGATGTGGTGTTTAGGAGAGTGAAAGAAAGCTCAAGCATCATGCATGCCTTCCCGTTGGCCGCCGGCAGTGGTCATTATCGCTCTTCACTAGAAGAATCCAGCCCTCTGGATTCTGCTTACATGAGTGATTGCACTCTTCTGCTTCCTCTTGAAGTTGCATGTGGTCACGTGACTTACAAAGCCATGTGTCACTTTCAGGTGGAAGCTTTAAGAACCAATGTTCCTTTTCCTGCTTAAGCGATTGTGGAAGCACAGAGCTGGAACTCTCACAGCCAGGATGTCCCAATGAAAACAGTGTGCACAGAGACCCCAGCTAAACTGCAGTGGGCATGTAGTGGGAGCAGTAATAGACCTTGGTTGTTTCAGTGTCTGAGATCTTGTGGTTATGTGTTACTGCAGCCTTGCCTGGCCTATCTTGACTGATATATTACTAAGGTTGTTCTACTACCCAACATTTGGCAGAATGTTTTAAAGGGAAGCAAAACCTTTAGTAGAAGGTGATTGTTAAAGAAATGTTAGGCTTCTAGGGGTGCCTGGGTGGCTCAGTTAGTTAAGCATCCAACTCTTGATTTTGGCTCAGGTTATGATCTCAGGGTAGTGAGATTGAGTCCTGGGTCAGGCTCCGCATTGGGCGTGGAGTCTGCTTTAGATTCTCTTTCTTCCTCTCCCTCTGCCCCTTCCACCTCTAAAAAAAAGGAAAGAAAAAGAAATATTAGGCTTCTAGCATGTGAGGTACAAAGTCTGAAAACTCTCCATAATTATTTATAAGAGCCATGAAGGAAGAAACAACCAATTCTATGCTGAAGAGTCTCAGGCAAGAACATCGTGTGAACAGAAGAGGACCACCAGAACAGTGCCTGTGGACGAGAGGAGTGAGACAAGACTGGAATAAATGGTAGTTTCTCAATCATGCTATTTGCAGTTAACCTGGGAATCCCTGCTCCCCAAATTAGACCAAACCACAAAGAGAGACATCTGAATCATAAAAACCTTTTTTTGCTCTGCCTCTTTTTCCACATATGACCAAGTCATACCCCTGATGCTTCCAAAGTCAGTCCACACATAAGGTTGGCACCCTTCTTATACTTCATATTATACCTAAAGTCCTTTTATGACCACCCCAAATGCTTAGGAATATTCCTGTAGGCCACCAGTGAGGCTGAGCGTGTCTACATATGACTGATGGTGATGATAATGAATTTTACTGATCTTAGACCGAATAGCAGGTGGTTAAGTGTTGTCTCATATCCAGCATACGGAGGACCTAGTAGATATTACTGAATGAATTCCACAAAGTATTTCAATCAAGGATTTCAGGTGAGATGTAGAATGGAATTGTCTTTTCCTGCATAGGCTCACTAATGCAGCCTGTGACATTGGTAGTTCCAGCTAGAAAGTAGTAAATGGTATGATACTTATATCCCTCAATGAAGTGAAGTAGGACACCCGAAATATTAGGTTGAATTATATGAGATTGCCAATGTGCATCATTTCCAACCTATATAAATGACAACTTTTACCATCCAACCTAATGCTTGATTGAAATGATTCACCCAGTGGATCTGGAAACCACACTTGGTGGCTTCTGCTCTACCACTTGCTGCCACAGCCAATACTCAGGAGAGGCCTCTAGGGACTGCCTGAGACGTGAATGGATGAACCCATGGCCCCAGCTCCGCATCTGGGGGCATCCTGGGGATTTGTCTGGGGCTTTCCATGCCTCCTGCAGCCACTGACCAGACTGCTGCCCATGAAAAGTAGCTCCTCCCCTCAGGAAGAATGGAAACCCTGCAACTTGTGCAAAGCTCGAGGAGGTCTGTAATAAACAAGAAACACACTGGTTAGCCACAAAATGTTGGAAATGGGTGGAAAAGCATTTGGCTGTGCTCACAGCCAACATTACAGAGTACGGCAAGCTGCTGCACCAATGCTAATAATCATCCTCCAGCAACCTTGTGAAGTGGACCCCACCATCACCATCATCCCATTTTACAGATAAAGAAACTGAGGCACCAAGAGATGAAATAGGAGTAAAGCGAAGAGCAAGGATGAGAGCAGAGGCAGCCTAGCTTAGCTCTAAGACACAAGCTCCTCACTTCTGGGCTTTAAAGAAAATCATTTCTAATACCTGAGGGTAGTGGGCTATGTAGCTTTCCGAAGGAAAAATAAAATACAATCTAAATCAGAGAAACATTTTCAGTTACTAAAAATACTGTATGCCATCTAGTTTACCTCCTCTGAAAGAAGAACAGGTAATTGATTCCCACTGTAGCTGGAACATATTTACTGGTTTTAATGCACCTCTTTGACAGTCTCCTAATGCATTAAATTCAAACATCTGTAAAAAAGCCCCTCTGACCATTTTATAATCCAGCTTTCTCACCATGATTAACAGTGGTTTCCCCTCCTCCTGATTTTCCTTGCACATGGATTTAATACCCGGGTTTGACCGTCATGATTATGTCTCATTTTCCAGGCAATCTGTCATGTGCATTGTTTATCGTCCCATCATCGGAGAAAAGCCAGTAGGTCCTTCTAGCAATTAATCTCTTGCAAGAGGGCAATTGGTTTATGATCTGGAATGAAATTATTGAGCTCAACTTACGATCAGTCA